AACAATGAGGAAGGAAAGATGGGACAGAAGGAGTGCCATTAAGACACTGGTTTCTACATACACACATACAAGTACACACACACAATCTGCCTAAGAAACAATTAAAGAAAAGCAAGTTTTTCGGTGAAAGCTACCAGCACTGGATGAGTTCCAATAGTGGACGAATTCCCAAGGTGGCCTTTGGTTTCCTCTTTTGTCTTGTCTTTTTTTAATTGATTGAGTGAGTGAGTGAGTGAGTGAGTGCTAGAAAGTTGGAAGATACAGGAGATGGTAACTACTAGCGGGGGAGGGTTGAGGAAAGATAAACGGTTAAACAGGTGGCTGGTGAAACGGTACCCAGGACCATCTTCTTGTTTCTTCTCCATTTGGATCTAAAGTATCCACCCAGTGGGAATCCACAGTTGCCAAGCAAGGAGAGCAAAGACAGATCCGATTTGTTCACACGCTTTTATTCTGGGTCACAGCTCCAGGAGTTTTACAGATAAGGAAACTGAGGCTCAAGCTATCATTTGCTCACTCCCCTAATGGCACAAGACAAAGCAATCTACCAGGGTTTCAAACCCAGGTCTGTCTCTCCACTAAGGCCTAGGTTTTTTCCACTGCTCCGCAACCGCCCCCCCCCACCTGCACCTTTCTCTCCCTCAGTCCTCCACAGCAAGTTGGCAGATGTGTCACTGACTGGAGGAGGTAAGGGAACACTGCTCGGGGCAGAATCTCCAGGGGCTCAGCACCCGTTAGGTCCTTCCCCTCCTGTTCCTATCTTGGTGCAGACAGTCCCCGGGCAAGTCTGTCATTTGTCCAGGGGCCCCTCCACTCCCATCTCTACCCTATCCCAGGCACGCCAGGACCTCAGCTTCCTAAATCTCAGCCAGAATATTATTTTACAAGGACACTCGCCAACCTTGAAAGGCAAGGTACCTCGAGGCAAAGAATTTAAAAAAAAAAAAGAAAGAAAGAAAGAAAGAAAGAAATCGTGGCGCAACAGCATGAGAGTACAGCGCCATCTAGTGGTGCTGCGGCCAAGGTCCCAGGCGGTGACATTTTCAAACAATCAATATCTCATTATTAACCATAATCACAACCTGATGTTTACTTTTGGAGAAATGTTCAGCAGCCAGGGATGCACATGCACTTTGCTGCATGTTTTCAGAGGTCTGAGATCCTAAATGCCACAATGACTATTAAGCAGTAGCCTGCCCATGAGCAAACAGGAGGGAGCGGAGACTGATTGTGTATCTTTTTCATCTAAGCTGCTCACCAAAAACAAAGCACCCATTGAAGCCACTGACCTTTCACTAACTGCTGGAAGGAAAATGCTTGATAAATAATAAATAGGCCACTACTGGATGTTGCTTAGAACCATCTTTTAATTAAAAGAACTGAGCAACCAGAAGGTCAGGTGACTGACATTTAAGTTCCAGTCCAGGAAAAGCATCAATCGAGGGTAAAACTATACCCAAAATGTAATTTCATTGTCAGCTAGCATTTAACAAAAATCCCTTCTCTGTAATCTGCTCCGCCAGGGGGGCATGGCGGCGGCATTTGTAGAGGACGTAGCACTTAACTCCCTGCCTCCTTTGCCTTCCCCTAGCAACCTTTTCATTTTTCGTGCTGCAGCAATAAACACTTGTCTGGTTCAGCATCTCCACAGAAACTGCTCCAGTGCTGGGCTTATCCAATCAGAGACCAGCTTGCCACACTGAGGGCTGCCCTAGGAGTGTCAGGACAGCCATTTCCTGTCTTCTCCACAAGGAGGGCAGGTGCCCTTCCTCCATCAGCCAAGGTGACCTCAACCAAGTTGCTCACTGAACCTGCTCAGGCATCCGTCTCACCGAGCACCATCAAGGGCTCAAAACGCATGACTAACCCAGCCAGCCAGTCAGTCCTCCACCTCTTGGCTGTTCTGGAACAGAGCTCAGGAACACAGAGATAGGAACAAAGCCATAACCTCGCCCCGCTAGACACACACGATTCACCTGTGTCCCTAGCTCCAGAGAGCCAACTCCCTTTCACTGTCAGAGTGGCACTGTGTCACATGCCCCAGCTCCCATGCCGTCAGGGAAACTGCCAGCCCGGATCTGAGCCGGGCTGGGTCACAGCTGAGAGCCCGGAAGGATACATGAGGCCGCACAACTCCAGCTGCCTTGTCTGGATTCCCAAGAACAGAGGCAGGCACCAGCGCTCTAGCCTCAGAGATCTTATCCTCCCACTTGAATGACTTTGTTTAAAAAGGAATCTGTTGACTATTTTCAAGTGGCAAGCCGTCGTTTATTTAGAGAGAAGGGTTATCATTCTAACAAAATTAGGAATTCTTTGGAGGCCTAGATTTTTCTGTAATACCACTTTCATTATCAGAGAACAGGGCGTCACATATTACACAGACTGTCCCCAACTTACGATGGTTTGACTTATGATTTTTCGACTTCACGATGGTGTGAGAGTACACGTTCAGTAGACACCATACTTTGATTTTTGGTTTCTGAATTTTGATCTTTTCCCAAGCTAGCGGTATGCACTCTGATAATCTCTTGTGACACTGGGAAGGGAGGTAGCCACAGCTCCCAGGCAGCCTTGCAACCACAAGGGTGAACAACTGATACTCTGATAACCATCCTGTACCCAGACCACCTTTCTGTTTTTCACTTTCAGTACTGTATTCAATGAAGTACATGAGCTATTCAATACTTTATAAAATAAGCCATATATTAGATGACTTTGCCCAACTGTAGGCTAACGGAAGTGTTCTGAGCACATTAAGGTAGGCTAGGCTAAGCTATGACGTTCTGTAGGTTAGGCGATTAAATGCATTTTTGACCGACGATATTTTCAATTTATGATGGGCTTTTCAGGACTTAATCCCATCATAAATCGAGTAAGACTATACAAAATCACAAAAAGAATCAGGTTTGCCTTTTTAAAAATCACACAAAGATCAGGTGTAGCCAACAAAAGCAAAGGAAGAAATCTATAAAACCTGGTGAATTCAGGACCACTTCAACAAGCCTTGCTATTTAGATGATGGAAGATGCAGGACCTGTTTTCTTTGCTGACTTTCTCATTCCCCTGGTCCTGAACATCCACCTGGCTCAGCCTCCCACATCCTGTCTCTCTACACTCCCCTGGGAGAGCTCATTCATTCTCCTGGCTCCAACTCTCACCCCTGTATCTGTTTCCTCCCCCTCTCCCACTCAACCCACATCTCTGCCACTTAGAGGTTGCGCCATCATGTCTAATTCAGCATGTTGAGAATTGCAGCTCACTTCCCCACCTTTCCTGC